ACCCTCCCATCCTCTGTCCGGACTCAACGAACCCTCATCAACTTGCAACCAGCTAATTACTATCACCCCCACGCCCCCTCCCTTATCCCCATGACTAATTTGCGTTTTGTGATAACATAATTACCAGCATGTTACTTTGTACCTCCTCCCTATATAAATGTAACGGCCCGAAGAGAACTTATCGAAAGCTACGTATGCTCGCCAAATACTCTTCTGAATTCTCTGATGGGAATTTTCGCAACCTTAAAACATACACAACACTTCAGAATGGTGCCGTCACAATCAATGGACGTCTGTCGATCCCCATTGTACTGCCGACTGCAGAAAAGCACACAGGGATGCTGGTGGCGGAACTCCTCACAGCTGTGCCATTTAGCGGCAGCATATCGACGAAACATGTCGCGGCCTTTAGCTAGGACCTGTGATATCAGTATGGCAAATAGTTACTTAAGTCCTAGAAGTAATCACTGGGATAAGATGCAATCGCTGGGATAAGAACTATTTTCGCTTGGCGTTTCGGTTTCCTTCATGAACCCATAATCAGAGACATTAGCTGAAACGGGTACTTCGTACACAGGAAGTTACCATATTTATGGGATACTGTCATTATGCCACTGCATACCTAGTGCGACTGATGGCTTCTCCCCCCTCCCCTATTGAAGGTAGCTGCCCGCTTAGGCGATAATTGCTCCAGGACCGGCGTGCGGATCATGACCTGTTAAACTTTCATCACCCGTTCTGAATTGCAGCGGGATGATTGCTCGGCCATCTGGCTCACTGGCACTGGCGTTGAAAGACGTGTTCGCCTGTGCACCCCCAAGTGGCGAATTGCTTTGACCAAACTGAGCTTTAGCACCGAATAGGGATTGGACAGTTCTGCACTTGTTTATAAACTACAGTCTGTAAAATATGACTTAAGCAACACGCGGCTCGCACGATCGTCACCTCTCGCGAGAATTTCAGCCTCACCGGATATTAAAGTGTGGCCAGGTATCGTTGAACAAGCCACGACTTGAGAATTGACATTATTTCTCCGAACCGCTGTCGCGTGTTCGACAATTCGTGTACTGAGTATTTTTCTAGTTTCTCTAACGTTGCTTTGTCCACATCTGCACTAGACCCTATGCGCTTAATTTTGGCGTCAAAATTGGCAAGAACAGACTTCGTCTCCACCTTTATCTAGGTCCGTGTTCATAGCTAGTTCTTTAGCACACAGTCCATCGGACACGCGTGTGCACGTGTTCAATCACCAAACTAGCCGTGCTGCTGTGATGTTTGCGAGAAGTCCGTGGATGTACTGATCCATTACATAGTTTAATCGGATTGCCTTTAGTCTGCGTGATCCCTTATATATTGCCATACTATAATCGTTTGACTGTGGTGCAAGCCACGTGACCGGCTGCGCTCAATCTGTCTACTGGTGGGTCTGAAGACTGAGGCAGATCACTGAGGCATGGAAACAAAGGAACATCAATACATTAATCACGGTAATAATCCTGGCGAGTTTTCAATTACTATGGTTTAGCATGGAATGAGACAAAATCGCTGGAAGAAGAGTTCTGTTAAGCCGACGTTCCGGAGTCTCGCGTAAACCCATCGTCCTAGAAAAAGCCAGATAAGGGTAGACAGTGGGTTGCACAGGTGTTCCAGTATTCATATGGGGTACAGTAGTCGCCGGTTACTAAGCCCACGGTTAATAAGCCCAACCGCTTATTA